TAATCGTCAAACCAATAATAAAAATTAACAAATATCATTTAATATAAAATCCTAAATAATTTCATCAGTTGATGAAATTAATTAAACAAATCTTTATGTAATTAATTATATAATGATTGTAATTAATTTATAATTAATTTTATCAATTGATTAAATTGTTTTTGATTTCATGCATTATAAAGTTTGATTATTGATTTGGCGATTACTTCAGTCAAGAGAAATTTTATTTACCTAATGTCATCAACACTAATTAACACGTGAAATGTCACAGTAACATCGGACAATTTTCTTCCTGATATTAAAATCGACGTGTTATTTTTTATTACTATGTTAATTTATTATTCAGCATGTTATATTTATTATTCAGAAAAATGCACACAAGAAAAAAAGAACTTGTACGAAGTAACTCGCACAGTTGGCGAATAGGAATTTTTTCGCACGTCCATTATAACATATTTGGCAGTTAACGTGTTAATAATTCCAGCAGAAAATAGCAGGAAATAGATAAATATAAAATAGGCATATAAATAAATGATCAAGATATTTCACGTCGAAGGTGACGTGCGAAGAAGACGTCAAGCAATCAACTCCAAATCCATCGAGAAGCACGCTCGCGACATGTGTATGGCGATTTCAACAACGTTCCGTGTACTCAGTCGTCGACGATAATCGAGGCGTTTATCGCTGAGAGTAATCTATCACGCCAAATGACACGAAATTTATTTAACACGCACTGCCGAGCGCCGCGAACTTGACTGTGAATCGTGCGTCATCGCACGACTCTAGCACGGTTCTATGAACGCGGACTAGTACTTCGGTAACAGTTTGCAGTTATAAATACGATAATACGTGATATTTTTCGACGATATTTTTATCTGTCGTAAGCTCCGCCGATAATTACATCAACTTGCCTATCCCGTTTCTACGTCGCGCACGAACATAATAAAATCGCGATGAAATACCAATAAAATCCTTCTTAGATATTGAACGTTTCAGACGTCGAGGACTAGAGTGACATTATGTAACCTTCCCAACGTTATTAAAAAAAATTATCTAAAAAATTAAAGTGTTTTAATGTGTTAATTACTCATGTTTATCATTTAGTAACTCTCTCAAAAGAACTACCACTGGAGAGAATTTTTTAGTATTTTGTAACTTTATTACTATAAAAATGTGTTAAATTTAACACGTTTCATATGTCCAAATTTATCAACTTTAATTCTTATGTTAATTCAACACAAGGCAAATATGCCAACAGATGAAATAAATAATATGTCGAAAATTAACACAGTAGAGTAACGTTTAGATATTATTGTTGTTATTTTAACACTTAGAGATCGTGAATATGACCCGAACATAGGATTGTCCGAATAATATAGTGAAATTAACATACGGATATGTTTAAAAATTTAACACAAAAGTTTCCACGTGAATCGACTTCAACAAAAACACAAAATGTTTTCTTACCGTGTATTAATAATATTATTACTTGAAATTTGCCTTCAGTGAGATACTTAGAATTGAATTCAGAGTTAGATGAGAGTGTTTCAATTGAGTCGTGATTAGAGACATAATTATCACATACATTAGATTTGTTTTCGAAAAAAACTACTGCATTAGCGCAATAAGTTGGAGTAAAACAAATATACTTTCTTTCATTCTAACTCATTGCAATAGTAAACTTAGTTGCATTGATGCTATACTATTCACTAAATTGATAATCACTAGAAAATTCCCACCAGCCGTGTCCGTTTCTAGCTGATCGTTTTTCATAACTTTGAGTAACAGGTAAGTCACAGGTAAGTCACAGGTAAACAGGATTGTGTTCATGACAGGTAAGCGGGAATGTGTCAAAACCGAAGTGACATTTTGACAGCTCGACTCTTTCTTATATATGTGTTTTTATTAGAAGGTTATCCGCTCATGTAACGTGCAATCAGTAGAAGGAGAGTAAGAATTTTAAAAGTAAATAAAAAATATTTTTAAATATTTTCTTTACTAAAAATATTTTTTTTGAATATAGTAAAGTAAAATGTGTATTAATATTCTGAGGAGCTTAACGAATAGTTTGAGAAAAAATATGCTTGAGAATAAATATGAGTAAAAAATATTAAAATAAAATATTAACATGGTAAACTGTCAAAATGTCACTTCTATTTTGACACATTCCCGCTTGCAAGATAAATCAACAGTTATGAAAAACGATCAGCTAGAAACGGATACGGCTGGTTGGAATTTTCTAGTGATTATCAATCTAGTGATTGGTATAGCATCAATGCAACTGAGTGTACACTCTGAATAAAAATCTGAGTATCTCATACATGAAACAAGTTCTATGTGACGACTATTTAATATGCATCTTAGGTCCGTATTAATATTCGTTGCTTGAAACTTGCTTCAGGTAAGATATTCAGATTTTAATTTAGAGCTTTTCAGCTGAATCGCAATTGTAAATATAATATCACATGTATTATTATATGATTCAAATAAAAGACTTTTACCTAACTCTAAATTCAGATTTGAGTATTTCACGTAGGACAAGTTTCAAGTAATGACTATTTAGTCTTATGCCCGTATTGATAGTCAGGCCTTATATTTAAGGCCTCTTTAAGTTTATCTTTAGATGCTCTGTAGCCAATAAAATGATCCATAAAGCATCTGAAGATAAACTTAAGGAAGCCTTAAATATAAGGTCTCTTGTCAATAACAAACACGTATGCATAAGAAAATATCTCCGAGAAGATAGTATGTCGTATATAATACGACACAACAAGTTATAAAGTAATTAATCAAATAGTATATATAGAATATAGAGTATATATAGTATATATATAGAGTAGTAAATAGTATATATAGAACGTACATAGGATATATATAAAACATATATAGAGCATAAGAAAGCATATATAACATATATATAATATATAAATATGATATGTTAAAATATATCAGTTTAATATATCATCAAGAAATAATCCGACGAAAAGGAAGTCTGCCCAGTTGAAATTTCAATTGGCCATTGTTATGCAAGAATGAATTAAAAAAATTATAAGCTTTTATCAATGAATACTCCATTCACATCTTTTTAATCTAAACAAAAAAATTCAAGCCTTATAGATGCTTGAAATGAATTAAGAAACAGTTTTTTTTAATTTTTTACCAGTCGCGTCTTTTTGCACATTTTTCTAAGGATTGAGCTAGTCAGTACTTTTAAAGAAATGAAAATTCTTGACTCATTGAACTATTGCGAAAATCTCAGAGCTAAATTCTTTGGATCATTCTTACGTAACTCCGGCGAATTGCAAATTCCAATTCTTACTTTACTTCCCGTCGGACCCAATGCGATTTACGTCTACGTGCATGCAATCTACGTAAAGTGACGCTTTGTATCTACTATATGAGCGTCTAAATTGAGCGCTCACCATTGCGCGTCGTCCCACGATGTCCAGGGTCCACCATCCTGTCATTGCATCTGACACCGCATTGGTCCTCGCATTCCACGTCGCCTGTAATTCACTACCGACCACGGTAATCTAACGGAGGTTTCCCAAAAAATCCTGTCTCTCTTGAGGGATACATTCCGAGTTGCAAATTGAGTATGAAATATTGCGAACTGCGTTCTCGAAAAAATGTCGGCCTTTCGGATAAACGACGAGTATGTGCGACGAATTCAGCAACTCAGTCCGGTCGAGTTATAGTGTATCGCTTTGATACACATGCGACGCGAATCGCTTACGAAGAAAACGGAATCCGCGAGCGAAGGGAACACACGACGCGATTCGAAGGCCGATCTTGCGAAATCTGACGCGAAGTAATCGACGAAATTCTCACGTACGACACGGAATATCTCTAATGTAACGTTTCGATGGAGCACGTAGTAGGCAATACAACTCCGCATTATTTTTGCGGATAATAGCTCCGCAATTCTTTTGCGAAAATAATTCCGCAATGCTTTTGCGGATAACAACTCCGCAATATTTCTGCGAAATTCGCTCGCGACTCTTCCGCAAATACGATCTGGTGAAATTTTTCCGGTGAAACATATCAAATCGCGAACGCGAGCGTGAATGAAAAATAAAATACTATTAAAATTGTGACGATAGAGATAAAGATTCTATTCAAAATTCACGCGGAAAAAATGTTACCACGTGAGACGTCTGTCTTCGATGAAACTTCGCGCGCCGCGTAAGTAAATAAACAACTGCTTGCATGTCTGACTTGTGTACATCGCGTTTTTCGCGAGGGATCATCGCTCGCTAGCATTGTCTCTATTGTGTTCCACGTTAGAAAACTTTAACTCTAAGTGAAAAATTGAAACCTGAAAATTTTCCAACGATCGTGAAATTAATTTTGCGAGCAGTTTATATGATCACGTTAGATCGCTTCGAGCAGGTGTCGTACGATATCAAATTTTACTTAATAACAAAGCATTCTACTTTATGAAATGCAATCATGATTCAAACTCACACGAGGGAGAAAATTAAGAAAATTGAGAAAACGACCGGCGGAAGATCTATGACGCGGGTGATATGATTACGCATTTTCTGCGGCACAATCTCTTTGTGCGTTGGCGCATTGCTCGAGATACCTGGAAGATCGCATTCAATAAAATTGAATAATTTTACAAAATTTTGAATGTTAGAGCGTATACTCAATACTTTAAGCATCTACCAGATAGTGTTGAGGTTTGATTAATCAAAATTTCCTCCGACAAAAATCGTCGATCAATCAATAATGTAAGTTAATCAGTTAATAAATATATATACATTGGGAGAAAAATACTTGAAAATTTATTTGCTAAATTTATGTAGAATATGCGTTACTAAATTATTCTTTAAAAAAGCAATCTTCCAAATGTTTCGAGCAGAGTGCTTTTTATTGGACGGCACATAGGCATACTACAACTATAGCAAAGTAAATCGCATTGATTCATAAGCGTGCATTACATCGAAAGACTTTTTTGTCTTTCTATTATCAATATGTTTCTTATTTTGACTCACCGAACCGCTGATTAGGGCTGCCACGTTCTGCTTTCGTTTCTGGAACAGAAAAATGCCGTTTAGATTCGTGCATCGATTTGAGTGAAATAGTTAGAAAGATTAAGAAACAAAAAATAAGCGCGATATTTTTCACGCTGAGAGAATTTTTCGGAATGCATTCACACTAAAATATTCCACTTTCTTTTTTCTCGACGTTGCGAATAAATCTCTTAGTCAGGACAAATCAACATTTTTCAAGTAGCGATGTTATTCAGAACAATTCTCCCCGCGTGTAATTACAATTTAACGCGATCTTTGACTCAATTCAAATTATCTCAATTTTGAGCAACAAAATTATCAGTCTTATCGGATTTCTAATTATGAATGCTAATTAGTGATGCTCACCTTCGAGCAGACCGCGCTCGGCCTGAGCCGGATCCTCCGGCGCAGCAGTCTCTTAGAGTCGGCTGGTCGCTTGCCTCGTCTCTGCAACAGAAAGTAGATTTAATTTAGTATTAATTAGTTACATAATGAAGGCATTAAAGAACTCGAATTCAAGCAAGAAAATTTCCTTTTGTTAGATTTCTAATTACGAATGTAAATCAAGAAAGCTCACCTTTGCGCCGACTCTGCCAGGCCCGAGCCAGATCCTCCGGCGCAGCATCCCCTTGGAGTCGAGTGCTCGTTTCTGCAATAGAAAGCAAATTTAATTTAGTATTAATTAGTTACACAACAATGGAGGCATTAAGGAACTCGCTTTGAAGCAAAAAATGTTCAGTTTCCTCGGATTTCTTATTATGCATACAAATCACTAAAACTCACTTCGAGCCGACTCAGACAGGCCCGAACCTTCGGCGCGTCATCCACCAGGCATCGCATCCCCTAGAGCTGTGTGACTGCGTGTGCTCTATTGGATCTCTGCGAATATATATAAAAAATATATATATATATAAATATGGAATATATATAGAAAATAGATTTAATTTAGTATTAATTAATAATTTAGTAATTTAGTATCAAATAGTTACAATAACGTACGACAGTAAGACGAAGAAGAGAAATTATCATAACGGCACGCTCGAGTTCCTTCTCAATGCGTAATAAAAATAAATAAATGATAACCGAATAAAGAAGTAATAATACCCGATTAATCAATGGATAATGATGATATCTGATTAGCATTGAGGAACTCAATCGCGACGTTTCTCTTTCTAACAAGTAAATGAAACGCGTAAAAAGGTAAATGAAATGCGATAGTTACCCGCCTGCGGTGTTAAAGCCCGCAACACCTGCTCGCGTGATGAGTACGCGTTTTGATGTGTCTTAATTTCGTCTTAAATGTCGCGGAGTCGAAAAGCGGGATGAAAAATCGACGCGGAATAATCTAGAAAATAACGCGGCAACTCCCAATGCGTTCGCCTCGACGGTTGATAATGTTATGATGTGACGCTCGAGCACGTGCTCATGTCGCGTGTTTACATGACCGAAGCGCCGCTGAGTCTCATCCAAGCGGGCCGTTACGACGGCTCGTTTACCTAGACTTTGTTCAGTCTAAAGTTTTTGTTAGAGCCGTTGTCCAGGTATTGTTATTATCGATTATTCGATCATCATTATTTCGTTATTATCCACTCGCGGATATTATTACACGATTGTCGAGCAGATATTAACACTATTATTTAATATTCGAGTATTATTGCTTCTTTATTCGGTTCTTATTTAATTATTGCTATTACGCAAGCATTAGCATTATTAGGAAAGCAACTCGAATGTGCCGTTACGACGATTTCTTTACGATTTCTTCGTCTTTGTTCAGTTATTATCGTCGTTGCGATAAACAGTTGCGTGGGCTCTCAGAAAACTATACATATATACTCTAAATATTCAGACGTTGTGAAAAGTGCGATAAAAGTACGGTGCCATCTCGAAAAATATCCGTGAATTAATGTTTCGCTCTACTTTATCATAGTTGTCGGAAAATCTAACCGAATATAATCATAAACTTTTCTGCAAACTTTTCGCATCTTTTTTGGCATCGAAACTAAATTCTGAAAGTATAGTAGTGATCTTTGAAATTTTCTTAATTGGAGCATCCACAGTTTTGGTATGTACAACCTGCAGAATATTTGTATTAAACAAATATTGCACTAACTGACAACTCAAAATTTAAATTTAAACATATCTTTTTCGTTTTCATCATATATTGAGCAATGCTCCAATTAATTTTTGCATGCACTTTTGTTGTGTAAAAGCGTTTGTATTTCTGTGCAAGCAAAAAGACGTAAACTTTGCAAAAAAAAAGTCAATGTCGGTAAAGTTTTCATGTCCAGCATCGCCTTAATGTGCGTCTTAAGTTCGTATTAATAGTCATTATTTGCTTCAGATAACATATTCAGATTTTAATTTAAAGTTAGTAGTTTTTTAGTTAAATTGTAAATATAATATCACATATATTATTATATGATTAAATAAAAGACTTTCATCTAACTCTAAAAACAGATTTGAATATTTCACGTAGGACAAATTTCAAGCAACGACTATTTAATCTTATGCCCGTATTCATAGTTAGACCTTATATTTAAGGCCTCCTTAAGATCATCTTTAGATGCTCTGTAGCCAATAAAACGATCCATAAAGCATCTGAAGATAAACTTAAGGACGCTTTAAATATAAGGCCTGACTATGAATACGAGCATTAGACAGTTAGATGTAAGTTTTTTTGTTTGAATCATGTAATACATATGATATTTCATCTGTGATTACGACTCAGCTGAAGAACTTACATTTAATTCTAAATTCAAGTCTGAACACGTCGCCTGAGGCAAGTTTGAAGTAAGGTCTATTAATACAGGTCCAGGGGGGTCTATGTTCCTTAACATGATAGATCGTACTGACATTCTATTTTCCCGCACTATTAGAAACAGACAAGAATTTATATGAAAAAGAAACTATGAAGAATATTCTCTCCGTGTGTACGAATTAATTCGTGGTCAGCACTCAGCGCGTGGAACGGAGAATTCTTTCCGCGTGCCAGCTGTGAGATAACTCGCTGCTTGGCAGTCGATGTGTTAATCTTAGATATGATTCTAATTTCAGACGTATTCAGGAGTTTTATTTGCATCACGGATAGAGCTGTTGCCTGAGTCGAATGCCACGCACGGTTAATGTGTGTTTCAAATTTCAGTTGTTCGCGAAGCGTAGCGATTCCGTCAGATTCCGTAAAGATCATTATGCAATTGCGTAAGCGTGGTCGTAAGTGGTTGCAAGTGATTACGACAACCAATCAGAATAAAATAATCAGTGAATAAAACACTCTAATCGGTTGACTCTTATATTCACGACCGGGCTTACACAATTGTAGAATGGCCTTAGGACGTCTTTTTCTGCGAATTTACTCGACGTTGAGCTGTTGGATTCATTCCATCAGATCGTTCTCGATCGCGATTTCTTCGACGGCTTATGACCGGAAGGAAGCGTGACCGCGTGCGCGAAGTCTTTCGCTCTCCCCCCCCCCCCCCC